CTTCCTGTAGGGATGTGTTTGTACCCACGTCGATGTCTGTGGGTCTGCCTGTCTGCAAACGCTTTTAAATTCTTCTTACTAAGTAGATGGGATCACCCCACTCAACGTTTGGTCAAAAAAGTAGAAAGTACCCATTCTCTGAGCTTCTATTTCAGGAAATGGAGGGTGTCAGTATTAAAATAACCCCTTTAAGTTCCAAGAAGTAATTAAGCGGTGGCATACGTGCCTGCATTCTTACCTCAGATTTTATTTAATTAATGGTTTTGTTATAGTACAGCAAGTTAGATGAAACCTCACTGAAACCTCTGAGTTTGAACAGCCACTTTTCAGTAAATTAAAGCAGTAGATAAAGATAAGCTTTTCATCAAATTAGGAAGTAAAAGTAGTAGGATCTGCTTCAAAACACAGAAAAAATGCAAGAAGAAATGTAAGATCATCAAAAAGAAATAGAACAAAACCAAAACCAGGCATCAAAACACAGCTGGAAAACTTGTAAAAGGAATAAAGGAAGCCTTTCACTGCAAACCTGTACACTGAGAAATGATTTACAGAATGAGATCACCTTTTTACTGGAGTAGCACCACAAATCTAAAGAAGAGCAAAGACCAGAAAATCGGAATAAACAAGAAATATTTGGCCAGTTTGGAAACTGTCACCGGCAGCAAGAGACAGGTTAAGTAAAAGCATCAAAAAACAAGTGGAAACAGACATTTGGATTTGAAATCCTATTCTCCTGGACAAGGGGGTAGGACCAAACATTGACAATGTTTTTAGCTTCCTGCCTAAAGAAAGAAGGGCTCCATGATCATGCTGTCCATCCGTCAGTCTGTCAGCCTCCCTTCATAATTTGAACCTGCTGGCCAACTTCAAGGAGATCTGACAGAAGGGTCAAGTCAAAATATGTGTAGCTCAGTCAGCCACATGTTGTGCTGCCTCTTTCTTAGCTGACAGACAGGAGAGGCGGACAAAGAAAGGGAAAAATGGGGGGCGAGTGGGCAGAAGATGCATAGGACCTTACACAGGGCATAGTGACAAACACACAAGGTCAAACTGAAGCTACTGTGGTAGTGGACAACATTGTGTGTCAAAGGAAGGCTGTAGTCAGGAGGCACGTGTGTTGTGACTCTTCCACACAACACTCTGGCTTTCCCCAAAAATCAGATTGTCCTAGCTCAAATGTAACTAATGCCATCTGAGAAGCAAGAAAAGTACTTTGTGAAGTCTCCTTGGTTCACTTCAGCATCACTATCAAGAATAAGGACTTTCTTAAATAAAGAAAAAAAAAATTGGCAACAGAGCAACCCACAACCAGGATTTGGACCTCACATTAAAATCTGTGAAAGGACACCAAAGATTTTCTAAAGGTTTGTGGACTTGACACTATTTCCTTGTAGTATTATCCAACAGAAGAGGAAGCACCTGGTAATGTGGAAGACAAAAGCCAATCTCCATAAGCCACATAGTTTGTGTGCCAAAAACATATGTTGAAAAAGGAGACTTGCATTTGTTCTTGATATTTTTTGCATCGTTAAAAAAATTTAAGGCTGGTCTTTGAAGAAAAAAAAAAAAAGTCAATAATATAAAACTTAACGGAAGCACATTGTTATTTATTGGGGAAAAAAAACCCCAAAACATAAAAGGGGCTTCTGTGATTATAAGGCAGACCAGAAAGGAGCCTCTTGAATGCCTGGGGAAGATCCTATGCAGGAAGATTAGGACACAGTGAAGACGGAATAAAGACTGGGGGTAAAAAGGTTAGTTTCCAGATTTTTTTTGTTTGGTTCTTGACAGTTCAGTGCTGAAGTTTTTATTAATGTTTAATATACAATGTATCTTGTGTACAACATGGTGGCCACAGGCTAAAATATATTGACTACAAATATGAGTGAGACCAAATTGTTTGTCTTACATGGTAATGATGGTAAGAAGTGTAAGTAATCTATTACTAGTTATTATTTACTTTGAAATGTGTTTTGGCTAGTGAATGAAACTGGTGTCAGAAGTACTGTAAAACTTGATTTGTAAGAATTCCCTTTAAAGATGTCATTTGGCCGAAGCAGGTAATTTCCTGACAGCTGTTTTGCAGAGAATGAATGATACAGTCCACTGTGGCAGGAGCTACTGCTATAGCTACGGGGAGGAGCTGAAATATGTTTCATCGAGAGGGCTCAGGAGAATCTTTTATATAAAATATATCCTGTCACTTCTCACATTGGAGCTTGAGCAAGAGATCAGGGACCCTCTTCAGTGAGCTCTGCAAAAAGAACAACTGTGTCTTGATCTGGTAAAAATTTTGGTTTGAACTTGAAAAAGCTCACTTTTGTAAATGAAAATTTGAGGTGTTGCCTAAGATAAATGTACTCTACTATAAAAGTAAGTCCATAAGGGCACCTGGTGTTGTTTCAGAATCTACAAAGAAGAGATGATGCTGTAAGAGTGAAGGCTCTTCAGGAATCCTGGATAACATGAACTGGGATACATGAAGCAATGGGCACATACACAGCTGGTTCCCAAAACTGACAGTAATGATTAGCTGAGAAGGTATGAAGGAAATGGGATTCGGATGTGGCTGTCCCCATTCCCAGGAAGGCAGATTTAGAGAGTGTCACCAGCAGAGTGGACATCCAGTTTCCTTTAGAACAAAAGGGGCAGAAATGAATAGGAACTGAACATTCATATGACAGGACACAAAACTCAAATGCCCCCCTGTGCTGGTTCAGCTAGGATAGGGTTAAGTTTCCCCAGCAGAGAGGGGGATGGGATCTCCAGCCGGGTTATTCATACCATGTTGATGTCAGGTCCAGCTCTGCAGGAAGTTTTTCCTTTGTGGCTTTGGTAGAGGGAAAGCAGGCGCGGGCTGGCTGTGTCCACTGCGGTATTTCTCTGTATCTCTTTTGTCTTGTTCACTGTTATTACTGTTTATTGTTGTTATCATTGCTACTGTTGTTGTTCAAACTGTTATTTATCACACTGTTGTATTAAATTTCTTCTTATTTTAACCCGGGGTTTGTGCCTCACTGCCAGCCTGATTGGCTGAGGGTGGGGGAGGGACAATGGCAATGTGGTCTCCAGTCCCGGCAGGGCTTAAACCAACAGACCCCCAGAGCCAGAGATCGACCTGGGGGTGTTGATTGACAGCTGGCTGAATATGATCCAGCAGTGTGCCCAGGTGGCCAAGAAGGCCAGTGGCATCCTGGCTTGTGTCAGAAATAGCGTGGCCAGCAGGGACAGGGAAGGGATCTTACCCCTGTACTCAGCACTGGTGAGGCTGCACCTTGATTCCTGTGTTCAGTTTTGGGCCCCTCACTACAAAAAGGCCATTGAATGACTCGAGCGTGTCCAGAGAAGGGCAACGGAGCTGGTGCAGGGTCTGGAGCACAGGTCTGATGGGGAGCGGCTGAGGGAACTGGGGGGTTTAGTCTGGAGAAGAGGAGGCTGAGGGGAGACCTCATCGCCCTCTACAGCTCCCTGAAAGGAGGGTGCAGAGAGCTGGGGGTGAGTCTCTTGAACCAAGGAACAAGTGACAGGACAAGAGGGAATGGCCTCAAGCTGCACCAGGGCAGGGTTAGACTGGCTCTTAGGAATCATTTCTTTGCAGAAGGGGTTGTTGGGCGTTGGAATGGGCTGCCCAGGGCAGGGGCAGAGTCCCCACCCCTGAAGGGGTTGAAGAGTCAGGTTGACCCATCACTGAGGGATCTGGTGGAGTTGGGAACGGTCAGTGTGAGGTTAATGGTTGGACTGGATTATCTTGAAGGGCTTTTCCAACCTCGATGATTCTGTGATTGAAGGAAGAAGATACAGAATATCCAATTGATGGGAAGATTTCCTAACAGGACTGTTCTAATAAATACTTATTTGTAGTAAGTAGTTTGTTTTCTTCAGGGCTGACGCTTAAGTCATGCAACTGCGAGGAGCAAGCTACCAAACCCTATGCAGCTCCTCAAGGCAAAACACGTCAGCCGCAGGTCTCGTTCTTCACTAGATTTTGCTCGGTGGAATCAGCCGTTCGCGAGGAAGCCACGAGCGAAAAGCGGCCGGAAGGCCCAGCGGGGGCCGGGAGGCGGGATGGGGGTGGCGGGGTGCAACTGCTCCACAGACACCGCGCCCGGCTCCCTCTCGCCCAAGCACCTCCTCGGGGAGGCTGCGGCCGCCATTTCCCCACCCCGCGGGCAAGGC